AGAAAGAGTTAGGGTAGTGTCCTTGGAAACAGGAGTGGACACACACACATGCAATTTGTGGATCCACCTGGCAATTTTCGAGTGTGGGAGATGGAATTGGATTCTCCACCCTTCAGATCTGTCCAGAAAAGCCACCTCTTGCAAAGGATTGATCTACCGTATTTGCATCGAAATGATCAAGACCAAAGCTATACCAAAACTGAAACTATTGCCTCAGCTCCAAAGCCATCCAGATGAAGGGGTATCACAGTAGTATTCCTCTGAAGAGGGCACCGTGACAGGCTACATCATCCATCCGTCTCTCTTTGACGGCACCATCCACGCGGTCTGCGCCACGATGTTCGATCAAGATCCACCCTTCTTGAAGATCTTTGCGGGGGTTGGCAAGGTGACTGTGGTCACGAAGGAGGTGCCTGAGCTGGTTGAACCAGGCGTTCTATGCAGTATGGCGACGAGTGGGTATTATTATTGAAGATGTTTCTGAAAAAGAGGTCTGGTCTTGTTCTAACCAACGGAACATAATATAGACTATAGAATGTTCCTTCCAATATACTGAGTCCACCCATATCCACAGGTTTGTGTATCGCACGCATTAGGGTTTACTAGGATCACCATGTTTAGCGGGGAGCAGTTGGTTTTTATATCCCTCAAGAACTATTGGACCTCTTTTGATTCTTGTCTATTTCCAACGGGTTCCGCACTGGCCTGAACAACTAGCAGCAACTTGGGGTGAGATATTCGGGATGTGTGTCGGTGAAGTCACCGAAAAAACCCTGCAGAGCGACCCAAAGAGGGCAGGTCTTGGAGAGTCGTAGCAGAAAGCCAAGGATGGAACAGTTGTCATTCCCCAGACCAGATTTAGACACATTTGGATATGATGGATAGAGACCACTCCATTCAGTTCTATTCTAGCTCATTCTGTCAAGAACACCAAGCACTTGAGTCTTGAGCTTGCTCGTGGCAGGCACCCAAAGATGAAGCAGTGATCTTGCACCTGAGCATTACCGAGAAGACAGACCAGCCACTGGCCAAGAGTGGAAGGGGCCCGAAGATGGGTCGCTCTTTGTCCTTGAACAGGCTAAACGGACATTGAGTGGATGAACTTCTGAATACATGAATACCATTCAATACCCAGTGTCTTGCGGGCATTCTCCTCTTTCCATGTGGAGACAGTCCTCCATGGAGATGCTTTCCCATTTTCCCTTTGAACAGTTTGGTGTTATTCGCCGTTCTTCCTGGGTGGATCTCCTGAGCATGGTGGATATGTTTTGTTCCGACTCTTGCCTTCCTATGGTCTTCAATGCACACTGTCCTGAGGCCCAAAAACAAGACCAGCGCCTCCGTATGTACTGAAGTCTTAATTTTGGGAGGGACCTATGAACCATTGTTCAGGTCTCAAAATCCATCCCTTGAGAATTCCTGCTGGCGGTCGCGTGCAATCTTCCTGAATGAAGGACGTCCGTTGGAGTTGAGAGTCCCTGCTAGCTTGAGGTCTCAGACCTGGACTGAAATAGGAACCCTGTCAACGTGTTCCTTTGATATCCTTTGATGTTGCAACCTTCTACAGAATTCCAGGGGTTCTATCAATCTCCGTTTCGAAAGGATGTCTCACCCGAGGCAGCAGATCTTTACTTGCCAAGTCTTCACGGAGCAGGGTGCCCTCCTCTGGCGCTTGGAGGATGTGATCTTCCGCAAGGCGCGGAGCAGCAGCGGGGCTTTGGGGGCGGGGGTTGCACAAGCTGCACAGCTCGCACGGCCCGGTCTGATTTCTCATGACACGGTGAATGCAGTCCAGTTGCCGGTGAATGATTCCATGAAGGTGACACATCTACAATAAGGGAGTACGGAAACACCATATATATATTTTACATAGAGGTAATTACATACATACATGCACATATATATATATATGCGTAAAACATATACAAATATCCATATAATTAATGAAACGGATTAGCATCTATGACCCAGTTTCATCGGATGATTCGGCATGTTTTCGGAAGCCGTGACGCTGGAGCAGAACTCGAATGGCAGGTTTTGCCTGAACAAATCCAGAAAGCTTTGGCCGCCACCAAGGCCGGAGTGGGATGCTTTTGGGTCCGTTGCGACTGGTACGGTCATATACGGTCATAGCATGCGCAGAGGAAGCCTTCCAAGACCACCTAACCATGCATGCCCAGTCACTTCAGTCTCCGCTCCTTACGTAGCTCCCGCAGGTTTGTGACCACCCAAACACGTCGATGTAACGCCAATGCGTTGACTCGCTTGCCACGGGCGAAGTGAGGCGAAGGACGCAGTGAGCTACTTTGAGACGTCCTGGAAAGCCTTCGGCGAGCTGGGTGATGCGGGTGAGGAACATGGCTTGCTGCCGCTGACGGCAGAGGGCAAATGGCTCTTCCAGGCGAGTTGGGGGAGTGGGAGAGCCGGAAGATAGGCGCTGTACAAGTACAGCTAACTTCCCAAAAAAGAATGAGTGTCAGTTTCTACATGCGTTTAGACAAGGGCAAGGGGCCTGGGAAGGTTGTGCGCGTTGGTGATTCTATTGGTTCTTGCAATGTGTTGCTAGTTGCAAAGGTGTGAGCCTGCCTACTGTCAGTGGAACTGTGTTTCTGCATGGCTTTGATGTGAAAGGATTCTTGAGTGATCCGCTTTTAGACCTTTTCCGTGGACTTGTGAAGCAAGGAAACTGTACAGGCTCGTACTGTGGATCATTCCGTGGTTTGCCCTTTCATATCCCTTATTCTGTCGTCTCACAAAGTGCAAATGTGCCAGGGGGAGGATGCCCTCCTGAAGGCCTTGAAGTCTGACCTGGGAGCCTTAGCGAAGGGTCATGGTGTTGCGAGACAAGGTAATGCAAACCCGGGGAATTGTCGCTAGTGTTATCAGAGCAGGAGAAGTTGTTCAAGAGGCCATGGTGGTTTTTGATATAGACAGCTGCAGCTCTAGGGCAGTTGGATGCGGGCACCTGCGCGCAAGAGAAGTTCCGCGGGTGGTTTGGACAGTAGTTGTCACGCCAGTGTGGGCTGCCAAGACCAAGCCAGCAGAAACCATGGTAGGTGAGTCGCTTCTTGGCGCGGTTACCACATAGTCCCATACCAGTGCTGGTGTTCATTCTGGGTCCTGGATAGCGATTCCAAGGTAAGAGATCGATTTTCTTGGCCATCAGCAACAATGTTTGAATTGCCCGGCCATGGCCATACTGCCAGGGTTTCCGACTGGAGCAGTCCAAGCGAAAGGTGGGAGCACCACATTGGTCTGCAAAAAGCACGGAAGTAGGCGACTTTTGGGATTCCATGGCAGGTGTTCTGAAGACTGTTAATGTCACATGACATGATCTGACTTTGTTTCAGATGGCCATCTCGGCCAAGAAAATCCACCTAGCCACTTTGTTTGGTTGGAGGGTTGTTGAGCCCCCACGACCGGCGGCTAAGGAGACCATCATGGCTTTGTATCACCAGGCAAAGAGGAGGACCTCAGCGGCTTCGATCGGGTGATCTACATGCCAAGCAAGGAGACTCCCATGGAGGCCATTGAAACCGGACATCTTGGGAAGTCATGGCATGATGGATTGAAGATGGTTGAAAGGTTGCTGGAAAGGTGTTGAAGTTCTTTGGGAACCACCACACATGTGGGCCCCCCCGATATGAGCTATTAGATGCCACACAACAGCCGTGCCGGGGCATGCCACACCATGCAAATGAGGAGAGCCATGCCCTTTGGTCTTTGTGATCCTTTCCTCTTGCCACGTGACTGGGGGGACCACCGAGCCCGTCCCAGGCCCTTTGTCAGGGCTTGAAGTTGATTCAGAAGGCGCGCTCCGTGAAATGGTCTGTGTTGGGTCCCATGCGACATGGTGTTGGTACCGTGGGATCAAAGATGACTGGAACATGTGGGAGGCCCAAAAGAGGATCCTCTCTAAAGGGAGATCCTGGCAAAACCAGAAAAGGTCCATCTCCATGAAGTGAAATATTTTTTTTCTCTCCTTGCCGGTCCTTGCCTTTAAACTTTTTAGGATTCTTCTGTGTTCAGACTATTTTTCTCTGTAAGGTGTGTGCAATTCGGATCTACTCGGAACATCCTGGAACTTAGCAATCATTGCATGTTGTCGGTCAACCCTCTTCCTGATCCGAAGGACTCCTGGTTGGGCGGCATATATGATGTTATTCTTGGCAAGATCACACGACTTTTGACTTTGACGCTTCTAGTGGGTCCGTGACCAGAAGCAGACCCGCATGCCTACGAAGAAAATTAGTGCGCAAGTCTAATTGGAGCCAACTTCAGCTCGAAGGCTGTTCTGACTGATGCTACTCAGCAGCCTCGAAAAGACCTTGTTTGGACCCTCATGAAAGATGGCTCTGATTTCTTCTCCCAATTCGATGGACACACAGCGGCAGCAAGCCACACAGTTAGAATCAGTCGAACCCTGCCTATACAAGACCAACACAGAAAACTACCCCAACAATTAGGTTCATTTACTGTAGATCTCATTCCTGGACCTTGGGCTTGTTGGAGTGAGGGACAGCAAGCTAAGATCATTTTGAAATCTCACTCATGACATAAGGAACCTTTGCAGAAGGGATTTCTTCTTGGACAGGCTCAGCGTGCAGATCCGGCACCAGAAGTCTGGTTTGTGCTTCGCGGCACTCAGGTGCCGTGGTTGCGACAAGATCGAGCCTAAACACCCTAAACATGCTACCTTGAATGGAGAGGATGGGTTCTCCTGGGCACGCATGCACACCACAATTCATCCTCCATTCCTGCAGTGGAAAGAGGGGTATGCGGTATGCACTTAAGTAGTATGAACATGTATGAAATGATCCAATTTATTCCAATACCAGACAATGTTTTTCTTGCCTGACCCAGTGTAACTTCCTCTAATAAGAGTTCTGCTGCTTCTTCTACCAACTTTGTGCACTCACCGTACCCCTCGAGCACCGCGCCTGGAACGCTCGCTCCCAGGCCGTGCGGGCGGAGGAGTTGAAAGGCCAAGCAGTGCCGCTCTTTGCTGGACTTTGGGGCTTGGCCCGTTGCCTTCGCTTGGAGGTGCCCACCGTGCCGTGTCTGACGCTTCCAGGTGATCCTCTGGTTCGAAGGGACAACGGATGGACCAAATCCCCAGGTGCATGAGTTGCCTAGAATTGAATAGAATTGAAGGCACACTGGGCCTGGGCGGGCTTGACGTCGTTAAACCTCCCAGAGCTCCGTTTTTTGTCCCATCAAAAGAGCATGTGCTTAGAGTTTCACACCAAATCCAAATCGTCAACTATAATGTTTAATAGCTCTTTGTTTTATATAATTGTTTTGCCCACCACCGCAGAAGGTCCGCATGTGCCACTTTGCACTGGCAGGTCCCAAATGCCGTGTGTGGCTGCGTGGATCTGGGACCTTTGCCAAAAGATGTGAAAGCAACAGAGCTGTTGAAGAGGTGCGAGACGGACAGAAGACACCATGAACTGGATCATGAATCTTTCAGTTTTTGGTCTTTCCTGGTGCGAAAAGGTCTGGTACCCAGCGGTTCCCCTTAGGGATCATGTTCCAAAAGCATCGATTTTGGCGGGTCTTGAGGGAAGCCCATGTTCTTTAGTTATGTTTGACGGTGAGGATCCACCATGTGTCGAAAGATGGATTCATGGAACCACAGGTGAAATGGTGATGTCGAGTCTATCGAGTCGTGGGTAGGCCTTCATAAGTGATTTGTTCAATTCTTACCACACGGTGATACAGTGATACCCAATCAATGCAAATGTCGGTGAACAACTCATACAGGAGCAAGAAGCTACTAGTAACAAGGGCATCGCTACTAGGAGCAAGGACGCTACTAGGGGCTCCTGGCATCGCTACTAGGACTTAGTGACCAAGTTACCCTCCGCGGGTGGAAATGGCCCCCGCCATGGACTCATGGACCCGCCAGGCTCCAGTCGCTGGAGACCCGGCGACAGGGCAAAGATGGCCTGGCCACTTTGGATGAAGCCATAGGTGGCCGCGTTGGGGGAGTGGATCAAAATGAAGGACCATGAAGGACCCCCTAAAGTGCTGAAACATGAGACTTCCTGCCTAGAGATCCCGATAGTGTTGATCCTTGGCTTGCTGCGTTAGTCATTGCAAAGCTTTGGAGATGAGATCCCAACACATTGCAAGTGGTGGGCTTTACACCATTCATGACATGAGCTACCAACAGCTGTGTGGGAATTGGGGTTGTAGCCAATATAGGGATGTCCAAGAAAAAACACCTTCAGACATGTTGACTCCTCCGCACCCTCACCGTTCCCAAGGAAGTGGAGCCGGAAGTGCTCATTGGTGACGGACTGCTGGTCTCACGCTTGGAGGAGACCACTCCCAAGTTCCTGGTCGTCATCACGCATTGCGTTGTTATGCACGTGATTCACAATCAGTCACAGGTCAGTTGGACCGGAGGTCTGGCTGGCATGGCCTGGCAAATCTGTTTGGAGGCCATCGCTCTCAGGTTGGAGGCCATCGCTACTAGGTTGGAGTGTGCAGCCAAAGGTCGAGTTCGATGTCCTTGTCGTTGAGTTGGAAAGGAACAGAAGGGGAAGTCCCTCGGTCCCTTCCATGTTGGTTTCTGAAGCGACCAACCAAAACAGAACAACCTAGTAGCGTCCTTGCTCCTAGTAGAAAGGCCAGGAGCCCCTAGTAGCGTCCTTGCTCCTAGTAGTGTGTCGGCCTTGAGGTTTCAAGAGATCGACTTGGAGAATTACCGTCTCTCCGCGGAGTGAGGGGATGGTGGGCGCTTGGTGGGTCTTTGTATGTGGAGGCTCTGTGGAGGTAGCTTGTGTGTGTGTGTGTGTGGCAAGGACCGCATTTGACCTTCAGAAAACATCAACCAGGTCATGATTGAATATATTATAACTATCACAGCTTTACACTAGTAAGCAGTTGGACCTATATATTGTATATATATATATACAGTTGGCATGGGAAAACACACACGCTGCCCGAACCTGTTGGTTGCTGGTGGTCGTTCTTCGGGGGAACACTGGCTGTTATGACTCTTATGGACGAGTTGTTGTAAAGCCTTCGATACTGCAAGCAGGGATGTATATAACAAGTGCATCGCTACTAGTAGCAAGGGCAAGGGCATCGCTACTAGTAACAAGTGCATTCCTACTAGTAACAAGGGCATTACTACTGTGTTTATTGAGTAAAAACAGAGTAAGTTTACTGTTCCACCCGTCTGGAAGGTCTTGTCTGGAGCACGTTCATGGCGAACGTCTGAGATCGCCCAACCTGGTTGGGTTGTTACTACTAGTAAGGCACCTGTTACTACTAGCGTGGCACTTGTTTCTAATAGCTTCTTGTTACTACTAGTAAGGCACTTACATCAATATCACCTCTCACCTCATCAGCTTCCCCTGTCCAAATGTTGAGGCTTGGAGGATGGGAGCTACGGTCTCACTGGCGGTACTGGTGGCCTGGGCTTGCTCTTCGGCGCCTTCTTCGCTGAGAAGGGAGCCACACATCTGGGGCTCATCTCAAGAAGCGGCAAAGTGGCGCAGGATTTGTTGGGTTTCGGTCGAGGGATGTTGGGGAAATTTCTCAGGTGATTGTTCCCATACGACATAATACACCCAGAGAAGCAGAACCCAAACGTTTCTGCGAACGAGGGCCTGTTCCGTGACGCTCAGTTGCGTACTCAGCTGGAACCTTGCTGGGACCTCGAGAAGAGATTCCTTCATTTGTGCTCAAAGTTACGCCAGGATCCGGCCTCTCAGAGCACTTACCAGCGTCTCCTGGATACCAAAGCGCAGATCTCCTTGAAGGCCTGCGATAGCGCGCAGGCTGAGGCGCGGATCCGGCTCGGACACGGCCCAAGGGTCGGGGGGCGTGGAGGCCACTGACCTGCGGTTGACTGTCTTAATCCATCTCAATCCCATTGTTTGTCTAGCGAATGGTAGTGCCGCTGAGGTGACTAAGTATGGATGAAAAAGCTCTATAGAGTCAACACGGACGTATCTCAAAAGAGGGCTGGCAGGTTTCAAGCTCCCAAATACTCCCTGAAACTGAAAGTCACTATTAGTGGCCACCTTGTTTTGGATTCTCTATGGAGAACGCACTCCTTGTTCCAGGGACAGAACTATGACCGGCATGGAAAGTAGACAAGCCTCGATTGACTTGCGGGTCCTTTCGTTGAGACACAGCTCCGGGGATCCCAAAGCAGGGTGTTTCAGGTTGGAGTTGTAAGCTCCGTCAGGCGGTGACTGCTTGCTTGAAGGAGCTGACGCCAGGAATGCAGAGATGGTGAGCCGGAAGGGATTGGTTCTCCACAAGGAAGGGTTTCTTTTTGGAGAGCCCTGAGTTTCTTCAGTGAAGGGACCGGTGCTTTCAACATACAACTTGTAGAGCTAGCGGGCCCCTGGATTTGGTATTCCGCGGATCATTTCGGACCCGTTGAAATTAAGAAAGGTTTACTGAAAGGCTTAGTGACTTAGCGCATTGAAGCTGGTTCGAGGTAGGTGCCAGTTGACAGCTTTCCGAGTTGGATGTTCGGTATTGAACCCTTGCAAAAGCTTGCCTCAATGCCAGACGTTGAACTTCATGATCCGGCTTTTTCAGGTGTTCTGATTGTTTGGTGGTTCCAAACAATGATATCTCTTGTGTCAACAGGAGAGACCTGTTGCAAGGGCCAGGTAGTTGAAGGCAATGATTTGACCGATCCCTTGACGGTATACCTTCTACCTTTAGTTGACGGGAGCGGAGTCAGACACTCTGCTGCCAACAGACATCTTGTCTCTATTCTATTTTCTGTAATTTTCCTTTCAGAGACGAGTATTAAATAAGAGGCAGTGTGAGGGCAGGTAGCTCACCAGAGGCTTCCTGCAGCACAGCACTGCTATGAGTCGTTGACCGCACGGCGGATGCCCTTATCCGCCCGCCGCAAGGAACGCTGAGAAACCACTCAAGGGCCTTCTGCACGCCGCTGGCGTCCGGGGCCTGAGTCCGCCGAAGGTTAGTCCGTCGGATTGGCAGCTTTCAGTCCGTTGGATGTGCAGGAGCCGTTGGTCTGCTTTCTTCTGTTCCGGAGCCGTTACCCTTCCAAGTGTAGCTTGAGAACACACCAGGGATCGAGTGGTTGAGAGTTTTCAGTAGAAGATCATTCGGCGAAGGTAGGGTGGTTTGCACAACAACAGTGGTGTATGCTATGTTTTTTGCACTCTGCTTTCTATCTGGCCATGATTTTGGCCATGATTTGGGAACAGTGGTCCAAGAACACCCCTGTTTGCCAGCTACCAGATTAGCAAAAAGGACCCCACCCATGAGACACAATGCCCCCGAATCCTCCCGGGACTCTAACTTTTGACGGACGCTGATGCCAAGCATGGTAAATCCAAGTAACTTCGTCCTACGTGGTGAAACTAAGTGCCACCCAGTGACTGTCTGTAGTGATCTTTAATCTTTTGTAGACCAACTTTTCAAACTGGACCAGATTGTCTCAAACCCATCCTCGCTTCCAAGATCACAAACAGTCTTAGTATGAAGCCCATGCTGTCATGCACCACGCTTCGACCACCCTCTCTGCATAGGTGCTGGATGATCACCTCATCATGGACTTAGAAGCTCAACACTTCACTCCGGTACTGAATCCCAAAATTGATGGCACTCTGTGGGGAGACCCAGAGGTCAAGTCCACGGCGGCGTTCTTGCCATCAGGCGTCGTGTACAAGATTGTCAAGCGCTTTCCTTTGTGCACAACGGTTTGGCCTTCAACAGAAAGAGCATCGACCACCATCTTTGGCATGCGTGGGCGTAGATTTCTCCTTGGAAACTATATAATTGTGATTATGAACAAATCTGGGTCAGAACCTCATGTTCGGTGAGGACAATCCAAGCATCAACAGAACCGTTTGCTGGCGATTGTAAACCACAGGATACCAATGGATACCACAGGTCTTGGGTCTTGAGTTTTGGTGTGTTTTGGCCAGGGCCACATCCAAGGGCTTGGCTTCTTTCCAAAAAATGCCACTTCACTTCATGTCTTCATTGCAGCTCCATGGCCGGTTTTGTGTTTATCTTTGCCAGTCAGTTGCACTAATTTAACTCGTGGCGTTGCAAGGAACCTTCACAACGCGCTGAAGAAGCTGGGATTGGAAGGAGATGGCAAGGCAGGATGGGATTGGACCCGGCCCAGAGCTCCTTTTGCGAGGCCGCCGGTGTAGGTATGTGTTCCGGAAAACCGATGCCTGCCTGTTTTGGTTTGGGAGAAATCAGGGGGGTGCAGATGGATTTATAACATATATATATATACATACACATACATTTTTACTTTGTTTTGGTGTCAGTCTACTCATTTTTCACTAATTTTGGTTTATGCGAGGCCGGGCACATGAGGACTGACAACGGACTTGGGAAATAACCACAACCACGATCCGCAAGACATGTTTGGTTGGCTACAAAGCCTGCAAGAAGGATGTTCCCCCATCTCCATGGTGAGTGGTCTTAACTGAAGCTTTCCCGTTGGGACAAATGGTTGGCTCACATGTCTTTCCATCAAGTGCCCCTTCTAGTTGATGGTGCAAGTTTTGCGGCATGTTGCGGCTATTGTGCTGTTTCTGAGCTTGCGATTCGGTACGTGGGGGTGTCCCCCCGACCCAGCAATAGCTCCCGAAATAAGTACTTATCACTGATCACTCTCTAAAAAGGGGTCCCTTTAGGAACCATCCCAGCCCAGGGAAACCTTGCCCATATAGCCACAGCTACATGGGTCGTTTGACTGTGGAACTCCCAAAGACTTCAGCAAAGGGACATGGGAGACACTGACGTTTCAAACTGATTGGTTAGGGGCTGGCAACCTGTTGGTCGGCCCCCCCCCTCCCTCTCCCTCCCTCCCTCTCTCTCCCTCTCTCTCTCTCGGTCTTTCTCTCTCTCTCTCTCTCTTTCTTTCTTTCTCCCTCCTCTCATCCAGATCGCAGGTGAACATGTTTGCACTCTTCTCCTCGGTTGCAGCCATGCTGGGCTCGCCTGGACAGGCATGGAGGGAAGGTTGCTGCGTCAGCCATATGCATAGCAAACAAGTGGTTGAGCGGGTAAGTCCCTGAACATTCCTGAACTACCCATTGTACCCATGCATTCCATTTACTCATGACCACTGACCACCCGTTTACGACACCATCACGAAGTCTCGCTGGGAGGCCAACTACTGCTCTGCCAACACCTTCCTGGATGCCTTTGCCCTCCACCGCCGCGGGCAAGGCGGGGGCTGGGCAAGATCCAGAGGAAGGAGGCTTGCAACTTTGTTCACAACTTCGCTGGAGCACTTTAAACAGAGTCAACTGGATGGGGTGATCCATTTTTTGGAAATACAGTAAACAAATACTTGGACATACTTGGACTATTTTTTTTTAGAACCTCAAAATCCTTCAGGATCTCCGGAGGCCCCCTCTTGCCGGCCAAATGACAACCTTGCAGCCTTACATGTTTTTGCTTTAAGCAGAGCTGGTGGCGCAAGACCTGGTGTGTGTGTGTGGCATGGAAGAGAAGTGTGAGTCGGAAGTCAGGGTGTAACCAGTGAGTTCATGCCACAAGCTACATTGATTTTCCATATGCTTTGTGTCAAAAATGGTGGCCACCGCACGCACTGGGGCCACATCACCAAGCTTCAGATATGGAAAACTGTTGTAACATGTTGTAAAGCAGCTGCGGGGCTCAAAGGCCCGAAGGCTCGGGCGTGCGGTCGCCCAGGGCGGGTTGTGCGGCCCCAAGTCGCAGGTCCGTGTCCATAAGGTGGGTGCGAACACCCACCCCCGAAGGTACACGTGGCTTGTGACTGTGGCGGTTCGCTTTCGGTTCACGTGGGTTGCCATGGAAGCTGCTTTGGCCATCGCCGAGAGCATTCTCAAGGATCCTTTGAAAGTTGAGCTGCGCTCCATCCTGCACAATGTATCGACTGCTGGGCCGCACCTGGTCTTGGATGATCGCATTGTGTTGGGAGGAGAGGTCGTTTCCGTACTGCAGGAAGAGCTGGTCTTGGCCATTTTTCCCTTCAAGCCGATGCGAGGGTTTGAAGCTGCCCCATGTGATGAAAAAATGGTGAGGGTGAGGATTCCGGGACTGGGTGATCGATCCATTCATACAGTGCCTGGAGTTCAAATCATGTGCGCTGGAAAACCGATTTTCTGGGATGACATGGTATATGAGTTTGGTGCCAATGTGGCGGTCACCTTCAGGCCGGAGATCAGTGACGCGATGCCGTGGAATTTCCTCCACCTTTTCAGTGGCTCATTCGGAGGATGGAGCCAGGCGGCTTCCTTTCTGCAGAGGACTGACCAAGGCTTCTCAGTGGGGCAAGAAATCTCTGTCGACAATGACGAAACAGTTATGCAGATTTGGAGTGCCCAAGTTGGCTGCCAACATCTTCGAGGACCGCTGCCTTATGATACGAAGTGGTCGCCTGCTTCAAAGATTGGCATCCTCACGTCAGTGGGGGATTGGTCGCTGGCAAATGTGTGCCGAATTCAGACAAATCTTTGCTGCACAGTTTCGCCTCCATGCCAAAGTTGGTCGAAGGCTGGTCGACGATTAGGGCTGCAAGATAGCAATGGATGGGCATTCATTGATGCCATCAAAATGATCGCCATCGTACAGCCAATCACGATTGCAGCGGAGTGCAGTGATGAAATCACTGAGCACCCTCATTTTAAGATTCTTGAGGCACTCATTCACTCGCTTGGATTTCGGCGAACGTGGACGCAGGTCACACCATACCAGGCCCTTGCTGACCATGCTCGGTCGCGTTGGTTATGCGCCTGGGCTCGAGCGGATGTGCAGGCTCAACCCATTGGATTTACATTCACTCTCAAGGCCTCTCCCAAAACACCATGGGATGATCCAGTGTATCACTTTCGGATTCCTGATGTTTGGGTCAACCAACTGGTCCTTTCTGAGTCCGAAAGAGCCATATACAATGATCCTCAACTTCTCCCAGGTGGCAAGCGAAAGCGTCCTGATGGGGACAACCAAGCTGCGCACCACACGTTGTGGGCTAGGGTCCCCAATGGACATGAGGCTCTTCCAACACTCTGTGCATCGTATTCATCCCAGCACACCCTTGCCAAGTGTCATGTGCAAGACAGAGGATTGTTCGCTTTTCTGAACCACACCAGCCGGGGTTTTGAATTTTTCGACCCTGCCAGGTTTTGTGGACTTCTTGGAGTTACTGAGGACAGAACATTCCCCACTAAGGTGCAGTCCGCCTTTCGAGGCATTGGAAATGCGATCTCTGTGCCTCATGGCCTGTTGGCGATCTCGATTGCGATGCACACAGTTGGCCAAACCAATGTAGATCCGCTCAAAGCCGTTCGGCAGGCATGGCATGCTCGCTTATGTGCCCGCAATGCAGTCCTTTTCCATCATGATGCTTTTGTGCATTTGATTCATGTTGATCATGTGGAACAATGGGTCTCCATGAAACCTGTGCCGGAAGTCACAGATGCCTGCTGTGTCCTGATCCAAGGGTCGTTTGGTCATTATCAAGTCAATGTCCATGTCCCGCAAGAGACAACGTGTGGACAAGCTCTCCACATGATGTTTGCAGGTCCTCAAGAGCTTATTGACATGATCGCTTTCCGTGCGCATGATAGCAATCCCAACAAGCATTCGTGCATTGCCCAGCTTGCAGATCCTGGCACCAGCTGGGAGTTCGTTATTGCCGGAACCCCCATCGGGTCATGTTCGATAGTCATCGTGCCGAAAACTGAGGTCATCGAAGTTCCTGATGATGATGACCACCTCATTGACAAGATCTACCAAATTGCTGAGGAAATGCCTTTTGAGGATACATGCAAGCAGCCATGGTTTCAGAACGTCCTCTCCTGCTGTGATCGGCTTTCACCTGGATATGGCACTTCGCAACGAGTTGTATTCCTGCATTCGGTTGGACAACCTGACTTCCAGGTCGTTGGCAAAGGAAGTGAACTCACATCCATCTCCTACGAGATTGCTCGTGCCTGGAATGGTCAAGTCATTGAGGTGCCAAGTGAGCGGGTTTTCCTCACTCATCTGGTTTGTGGAACTGATGAGTCCACTGACGGGCAAGTACAGGTTGCCATATATTCTCAAGCACACGACATGTTTTGCCTGCTTCACTTGCCGTCAAGCATCCCAACAAGGACCAACTTTGAATGGAAGGAGAAGGTGCTTCTCATCAAAGCTGTCAATGGGAGACCGCCTCAGCAACCATGTATCCGGCTCCATGCAAATGATGTGTTGAATGTGGGAGTTGATGAGGTCATCCGTGCGGGAGGGCATCATGAGGCACCAGGCCCAAGGCCATCTTTGCCTGCAAGTGCCCCCTTTGTCGACAGAGCAGAGTTCATGTGCAACACGCAGGGATGGATTGCTAGTGATGAAATGGCAATGTACACACAGGAGATCCAGTGGCATCAGATGTTCTACAAGTTCACGCCACCTGTGTTCTGGGACCCACATGAGGATGAATTTGAGTTCCCTGAATCTGGTGAAATTCATATTTTCAATGGCTGCACAACGGTGGTTCCGATCCTCATCACGAACCATTGGAGTGCGGTTGAGATTCATCGTGGGGAGCATGGCACAAGAGTTGTCTTTGTCCAGGTCCAACAGAGCATTCGCACCAAGTTGACTCATCTGGTAGCCCGACTCTTGGACATTGCCCCGCATCGCTTTGAAGTTGCTTTTGAAGGTGATGCTGTTCCACCCCACTTATGTGGCTGGCTCCTCTTGTATCGCTGGATCGCCCACTTCAACATGCACAACAACTTAGCCAACCAGGTCAATCAGTCGCCGCTGCCGCGGCATGTGCTGGAAATCATTGAGACATGCATACAATGCTCTGTTGAAGACTGGCGCCGGTGCAATATGCCACAAGATGTTGCCCAGGTTGCTTTGCAGCTCCGACGCAATTTCCTATGGCACCGAGCACGACGTGAGGCCATTGGCCAGCCTGTGATCCAACCACGGTTGACAGTTGCTATTCCGACACCGCAACCAGTTGTTCGTGAGCAACCACAAGAACCACCAAGTGCCATCACCGAGATTCTGGCAAGGCTTCATCATTTTCAGCAATATTCAGGTTGGGCAGCTACTGATGAAGTTGACTACACGATGGACCTTCTGAGATCACATCATCCAGAGACTTTGTTCTGCCCACCGGCGGTCTGGCTTCCCACACGATCCGAGTTCATGTATCTCAACGATTTTGTGCCGGACATCTCGTCCTACAGCCATATTTTCTGGAATGTCGTGACTTTGAACCATTGGGTGCAGATTGAGTTGTATCTTGCCCCGGAGAATGCAAGGTTCTACTTTACAGTGCCCAACTCAATTCAACAGACGCTGCTTCCTTTGATCAACTATATCATTGGTATTGCACGAGTTGAACCTGAAACTGTCACTGTCGAGACAATCCATCAAGACACACCGCATGGATTGTGTGGGTATCATATGCTGCATCAGCTTTTTCACAGGGTCTCCTTGGATTTTGCGCCTCTTCGTGATCCACAACTCCAAACGATTTGGAGGCACCAGCTTGGAGACGAGCTTGAGGAAATCAGAAATGAAGCCCGACTTGTGTGGCACAACTCAGGTGCTGAGGAAGAGCTCATTGATTTCGCTGCAAATGTCCGTGACTGGTTCCTCATTCGTGTCCTGGAACGACGCTTCCCTGAACACTACATTGCTGGTGGGGCCGTTGAGGATGTTGACATGGCTTTGCACGATGCTTCAACCAAGAGCAAATCCAAAGCCTCCGAGGCTTCTCCGGCAAGTGGTGGTGCGAGTTTCAGCAGCAAGGCACCTCCTGATCCATGGCTGCACAATGATCCGTGGTCCAAGCGGCCACCAAGGCCCTCACAATCCAAATGGGAGGATCTTGTGATCAAAGAGCCTGTCCCCTTCATGGACGAGCGCGACAAGCAGTTGAGTCAAACACACCGATTGCAATTGGCTCCGAGCCGTGGGGGAGTCGTACTGGCAACTAAGTCACACCTGCCAGAGATTTCGAAGATTCAGGCTGCCCCACATTTATGTGTGCTGATTCCTGCATCGGACTCGCCGAGCTTGGCACATCTTGCCAATCGGATGGAAGGCCCTTATGAGGTCTCCCTTCATGACAACACTGCAAAGATTTCATACAAGCGCCTGGTGCACATGATCGTGTTTGCTGGAAAAGTCAGGTTCCAATTGCCTGAGGCTACCTACAAGATGACAACACCAGC